CCTATTTTTCCTTTCAGTCACACCATTTTGTTGTGGTGTATAAGGAGCCGTGGTTTGATGTATTATTCTAGTTGATTCAAAATAAACCGGATCATAATACCCACCACCTCTATAACTACGTAAAACTTTTATTAGTTCATTTTTATGAAGTTCAACCTCTTGTTTATAAATCTTAAATTTTTCAAGAGCTTCATCTTTGGAATGTATCAAATAGACATAACAATATCTAGATGCATCATCAATAAAAGTAACAACATACTTTTTGTTTCCAAGGGAAGGTGTTGCATGGAAATCACATAAATCACTATGTATAAGTTTCAACACCTTGCTTTCCCTAACAACATCTTTGAAAGGTTGTCTTGTAATTTTAGTTAACATGTATGTTTTACATTTTTTATTATTTATATCTAAAGCATGAATTAAACTCATTTTTGACATGTCTTTTAATCTCCTGTAATGAATGTATCCTAGTCTAGCATGCCTTAAATCAGATTTATTAAAGTTATTGCTAGTACTAGAAGAAGCCATGCAAAAAGAATTACATAACTAGGATAATTAGTATTAAGCCTAATCATTCCATTACATACATATTTGAAACCCATAAAGGAACCATGTATTGACAATATATACTTGTCACTTTCTAATACTTTTTTTGTAACCACAATTATTTAAATCAATTTCAGACATAAAATTCTTTCGAGTCCCCGGTACATATAAAACATTGTTCAGACACAAACACTTTCCAGAAGTAAAGTAAAGTAAAACAGATCGTAAACCCTTGATTGTTTCAGTTGCAAAATTTCCCATTTTTACTACAGATCCATCTTCAATTGGTTGACATTCCTTTAACCAACGAAGATATTTACACATATGGCTTGTTGCTCCCGAATTAACCCACCATGCAACATTATCATCATGCACATAAAATGCTTCAGAAATCGTAGAAATATAATTCTGAACATATTTAGAATTCTACATAAAAATAGAAATCTGACCTTGTTGCTTTTATGGATCCTTGGATCTAGGCCTGTTGAAAATACCCAATACCCGATTACCCGACCCGACCCGTTTTGAATTCGGGTAGATCGGGTCGGGTAAATCGGGTTTCGGGTTTGAAAATGAAATGGAGTTTAAACCAAACATTATATGGCTTCATTATTTGAATGGTATATATTAAATGTAAAAGAAATTATTGAAAATGAAATGGAGTTTTGAAGAGAATCTTACAACAAATATAATGAAAATGAATGAGAAGTTAGATCCCCTTTCATTTTCTTTGTGTACTACAGATCTGTTTCTTTTTTTCAACTATGCATATGTTTCTTTTTTGTTATTTCTTTTTTGTGAATTGAAATATAGCTATATAATTGGTCCCTGCAATTTAGATAACATGCTAATTTTTTATTTATAATTTTTATGTACTCACCTTTTGCATTAAATCATGTTACATGTTTGGTTAATCCAAATTTGATCAAACACTGATCATATACTCCATAAAATGTTTTTTTTTATCAAATTTTGAAATGGAATGCAAAAATCACATAACATATTATAATGACTTGTATTGTTATCGTATATGTACTTGTTAATTGTATGAAATATTTTGTCACCCAATTTTTTATTAAAGCAACCGAAATGCAAAAAGGAATTAAAAAAAAATAGATAAGTGACACTTAAGTAATTTTCGGCTATACCCAAAAATACCCGACCCGACCTAAAACCCGAATACCTGAAACCCGAGAACCCGAATTACAATATAGGCCGGGTATCGGGTATTATTATTTTAAGGAAATATCCGAACTACCCGGCCCGTTCTACCTGAAACCCAAAATTTTACCCGATCAACACCCTTACTTGGATCCACTTGGTCTAACACCATCGTTGTTCACTTTACAAAGACGACAGTCTTTCTTGAAGTGACCCGGTTTGTTACATTTCCAACAAACCAACTTAGCCTTCTTATTGGAAGACTTGGCATCATTTCCTTTAAACTTCCTTTTTCCATTAGACTTCGTGGGATTCTTTAAACTTTCTCCTTCCACCATGTTCACATAAGAGGAACCGACTTGGTTCTTGCCTTTAGGATTGTTATCAAGTTCTTGAGTCCTTAAGGACTTTTCAATCCATAAATGGCTTCCAAGTTAAGTCAATGTTAATTCCTCTTTGTTATATCTCAAATTATGTTTAAAATCATTCCAGTAGGGGCAGTTTGTCAATGATCATAGCCATATAATTGGCTTCATCCGTTTTCAGATTGTGTTGAGCAAATTGTCCCAGGATCCTTAACATTTCATGGAATTGTTATATAACAGGCCAGAAGTCAGTCATCTTGTAACCCATAAAGTTTCTTACAAGAGGCTTCTTGCTTGAAGCCTCTTCAGACTTGTACTTGGATTAAAGAGAATCTCATAGTTCTTTTTCAGTTTCAACATTTGGATAGATATCAAATAGAGAATAAGACATACCATTGAGAATATGACTATGACAGATGTAGTCATCATTGTCCCACTTAGATCTCCTCATTGTTGCCTTAAAAGTTTCATCTTCAACAAATTTTGGCATGGGTGTACTCAGAACATACACCACTATCAGAGTAGTAAGAAGAAAGTGCATCTTCTTCTGCCATCTATGAAAATTTTACCCTTCAAACTTGTTCAATTTGTCAATTTGCTTGTCATATCCTTCACAGAATCGCCACTTGCCATGATCACAAATTACTTTGATTTTTCGTATAATTTCGTGCTAATAAAGGAACTTGGATATTATGAGAATTGTGATTCCACTTTCAAATCAAACTATATGGGTGGTACTCCCTAATATTTGATTGGATAAGACTCAGAAGAAAGAATGAGTGGTGTCAATTTTGTGAATACCAAAAACCGACCAGAAATTGGTTAAATACCTTCTCTGTTTGAAAACTGACATAAAATAGTTTTCCAACGGTCAAAAAAACTATCATAAATCCGAGTTTTGTATAATGATTAATGCAAAGCCAAAAACGAGTCATATATTCAAAATTTGGATTTAGACCCCAGCCAGGGGCTACTGCCCCTTGGACCCCGCTCACAAAATGACAGTCTACCTTTAACCTTGAATAAACATAAACAAGTGTACACTCCACACCTTCCTTACTTGTTAAATATTCATCAAGATTGATTTTGGTCAACAAGTTAACTCATTACACTTAAATACAATTAGTGAAGCACATCGCCATATATATATATATATATATATATATATATATATATATATATATATATATATATATATATATATATATATATATATATATATATATATATATATATATATATATCAAGGTTGTCAAGATCGGGATCCTACCTAGGATCGTTTTTGGGTTTGCAAAATCGGAATCGTAAGATCGGGATCGAGATCCTAAGATCCCACAAAATAGAATATAATTTTAATTTATAATATTAATCATAAAAAATATTTCAAACATTTAATTTTTCGTTCAAAAGTTATAAAAACTTTAAAATATTAGTCATAAGTCACAATAAAAATGATAAATGGTAGATTGGTAAAGGGTAAAAGACATAAAATGGTAAAAAAAATTCATTTGGAAAAAAAAATTTAAAGGAAGGTAGGATCGGATCGGATCTTGATCCTACGATCTTACGATCCTACCTGCGATCCTACCCAAAATACGATCCTTTTACGATCCGGATCGTTTTTCATACATAGGATCGTAGGATCGTACGATCCTACGATCAGGATCGCGATTTTGACAACCATGATATATATATATATATATATATATATATATATATATATATATATATATATATATATATATATATATATATATATATATATATATATATCCACCTTTGACCCTTGGTTAAGGAGCTTCTCTTTGTGTACAATATTATTATGGGAGAATTTCATATATGCCCTTCTTAAACTTTAAAATATCATATTTGCCCAACTTAATTTCTTAATATCATATTTACCCTTTATAAACCTTCAAAATATCATATTTGCCCAAATTCTTTTTTATAATGTTTTTAATATTTTATAATCATTCTTTATACCTTAGAATTATTATAATAATTAAAAATATTAACCATATTATCCTTACGTCTATGATAATGGAATGTGAACTTCTAAATTGTTGGAATGTCGCCCTCTTGACAAACAAAAAAAAATCATCTTCAACTCTCTATATAGAATATATTTTTTGATCGTCTAGTTTTTGTTGTTGTTGATTATTATCATGTTGTAGATAGAGGTTATTTTAGATATTATCATTGATATTTTGATGTTTAAAATGTACGTATACGATATTTTGATATGTAAGAATGGTATATATGATATTTTGATGTTTAAAAATGAGATATATGATATTTTGAAATTTTATGAAGGGTAAATATGATATTTTGAAATTTTATAAAGGATAAATATGATATTTAGAAATTAAGTTGGGTAAATATGATATTTTGATGTTTAGGAAGGGCATATATGAAATTCTCCCTATTATTATATGGAAGACCTATGAATTACAGAAGTTGATTAAAACAAAAATTAAATATTAAGGTGTGTATATTAAATATTTTTTAAAGTAATATTTAGAGACAACTAAAAAATGATAAATAACTAAGTAATTACATTTATGATAAAATAAAATTAAAATTATATTCATATAACATATAGTGAGACGGAATTGTAAGATGATTTTGTTGATCGAACAATAGATATAAAATTGGAAAGCATTAATGGACGCCACTTGTGATTTACCTAAAATTTATGTAACCATAAATTTTTTGTTAAAGTAATTCTTTAGGTCTAAGCAACGTAGCTAAGTTTTTCAGTATGTTGAACCGTAAAATTATTAGTTATATGATAAATAAATTTTTATTTAACTAAAATTCCATCGACAAATTTATAATAATTTTTCTAACATAAATTGTCTATGTTTTACCTGAACATGGATGAATCTAATAAAAATAGAAAGCAAATTAAGACATAAAGTGTACATCATGTATGGTAATTTTCTTGAAACATGTATTTGTATATTTATAAACCTTAATTTATGATATCGAGGTAATTTTCTTGAAACATGTATTTGTATATTTATAAACCTTAATTTATGATATCGAATAAGAGGCAAGTGATTACATTTATGAAAAAAAAAATAACACATAGAAGCCATGTTAGCTTTGTAAAATTAAGACGTCTACTCTGATTCCTTTTATATAATTCTTCGGATTGAAATTTTATTTCTATACTTTTATAGTCAACTTCATACAGTGTGATTGTCACGGTTCTATATATTAAATGTTAACAATTAACATTTGGAAATCAAGTTGTAATATGAATTGCAAGTAATGAGTACCACGACGCTATGTGCAATATGATTGATTATATATAAAAAGTAAAACATACATAAAATTGGACCCGGTACAAGCCCTGATCTCGATCTCAAGAGAAGCGTGACGATCATTCAAAAGGAGAAGGATCGGACAAAAGAAGGTGGTGACGACGGCCCGGGTGGATAGGATGGGATTCTGACCTCCACACCTGGTGGTTTGGTCAAATTCTTACATTCAGTCCAACTTTTGAAAATTTGATTATATGGTTTAAAGAAATTGAAATGCACATCCTTAATCCATTTAAAAAGAATATATATATATATATATATATATATATATATATATATATATTATATATATAACTGTTTAATTTTTTATTTATATTTTGCGACTTGCATTTTAATTTATTAATTTATATTTTATACGATTTATATATTTTCTTAAAACTTTATTTGAATATATTTTTAATGTTTTTTTATATCTTGTTCATTTATATTTTTTTATGTTTAATTTGAATAATTTTTCTTTGTTTTTTTATGTTTTGTTCGTATATAACTTTTAATATTTTTTTTTCTTTTTTTTTTTTATATATATTTGTAATGCTTTTTATAAATATTTTTTGTATAAAAAAATATAAAAAGGTTAGTTAAATGAGAATACAATTAACTCATATTAGGTATATAATTATTTATTTTAATAAGTTATTGTATTGGTTAATCGAAATTCAAAACGAATGTCAATGACTTCCAAATTCAACTTTTTTAGTTTTATAATTTTTTTTTTTATATTTCGCTCCGAATGGAAAATGCTAATCAGAATTCATATAACTCAAACACATGTGACAATGTTTTCGAGTTCATTTTTTTTTTAGAAATTTTGTTCGTTTTGAGTTATATGGACTTGAAACCCGTTATTGTATTTTAGTTAGCCTATCTATTAATCTTAATAAAAATATAACTTTATACCTAATCTAAGTTAATAATATTCCCAATTAACGAACCATATTTTTACATTTTTTTAGTTATTTTGCGTGTTGTTTGAATACATTTTAATTTTTTTGTCGTTTTGTTTATTTATACTTGTAAAAAATGTAAAAAAAAAGTTTGTTAAATGTGAATAATATTAATTTAGATTAGACACAAAATAATATTTTTAATAAGATTAATAGATACATTAATTGAAATTTGAAAAAAAAAAGTTTCAAGTTATATAAAGGCTAATTAGAAATCATATAGCTCGAAAACAAGCAAAATTTCTAAAAAAAAAAAAAAATCAACTAGAAAACATTGACACATGTGTTTGAGTTATATAAATTCTGAATAGCATTTTTCATTCGGAACCAAATGTAACAAAATTGT